ACTGGTGGGGACAGGCCTGTCCCTGTATATCACTGGTGGACAGTACTCTGACCTGTATATCACTGGCAGACAGTACTGGTGGGGACAGGCCTGTCCCTGTATATCACTGGTGGACAGTACTGGTGGGGACAGGCATGTCCCTGTATATCACTGGTGGACAGTACTGGTGGGGACAGGTCTGACCTGTATATCACTGGCAGACAGTACTGGTGGGGACAGGACTGTCCCTGTATATCACTGGTGGACAGTACTGGTGGGGACAGGTCTGACCTGTATATCACTGGCGGACAGTACTGGTGGGGACAAGCCTGTTCCTGTATATCACTGGCGGACAGTACTGGTGGGGACAGGTCTGACCTGTATATCACTGGTGGACAGTACAGGTGGGGGCAGGTTTCTGTCAGAGAAGGTGCACCTTGTGCTGTTGAGTATAAATGCAGCCTGAGGTCAACATCGCTGTCAACTTTGCTTTTTTCCAATCCTGTGGTTTGAAACGAGACAACCCTGAGAATAATATTTGATCATGAAATTAACAGCTGCTGAAGAGTCTCATGTAAGAAGCTCAAACTATTTTATTTCAACACAAGCAGATCCTATTTACAAGCGATTTGAACAACAGCTTTTGAGGCTGCTGCTCAATGTGTATTGTCGCTGCTACAATAAGGATGGGAACAGTTCTGCCCCAGACACACTATGGGTTCATAGAAACATACAGTGCAGTAGAGGTCCTTTGGCCCATCAAGTCTGTCCCAAGTTGTAGGTGAAACAATGTGAACTCAATCCCCTGTCTGCAGTTGGGGCAGAAAGGGAGTTAACAGTGTTCTACAATTCTGTATGAACCATCCCTATAATCGACAACACCAACATTTCCCCACCCCACCCAGCCCGTGCCCCTACATCATGTGTAATTTACCCCTGATCTCCTACCCCAGGTTTGAGAATCCACTAGAGACTCCAAAGTCAGTGATCCCAGCCTGCACGACCACGAAACATTTGCACCCCACTTGTTTGCACTCTGGGCTGGAGTCGAAAGAGACTCTCTTTTTGTCTCTTCCAGAGCGTGTCAGGCGGTTTGCATCTGCAAATTCAGGGACACTGCTTGGGGTAAGCTCTAAGTAGACCTTGTGCCCATGTAAGCGGGAGGCAAATATTGAGGTTCTGGTCAAGATTTTTAAAAAAATAGTCATGTATTAGGTATAGACAATTGGGATCGAATTAATCTCTTGTAACGTATAAAGGGTGTAGGGGCATTCTTAAGAGGAAAATCAGGAGTGCAAAAAGGGAATATGAGATAGCCTTGGCAGATAAGGCTAAGGATAATCTAAAGAGATTCTACAAGTATGGTATGAGCAAAAGAGCAATTAAGAAGAAAAAGATCAATGAGGACATCTAGGTGTGGAACCATAGGAGATAGGAGAGATACTAAATGAATATTTTGTGTCAGGTTTAACTGTGGAGAAAGAAATGGAGGCTGTGGAGCTCAGGGAAATAAATATTGGTGTTTTGAAAATGGTTCACATTACAGATGAGGAAGTGCTGGAAGTTTTAGAAAACATAAAGGTGGATAAATTTCTGGGACCTGATCAAGTGTATTTCAGCATGTTGTGGGAAATTAGGGAAGAAATTGCGGGGACCCCTAGCAGAGTTATTTGAGGTGCCAGAGGACTAGAGGGTAGTTAATGTTGTGCCATTGTTTAAGAATAGCTGTAAGGAGAAGCCTGGGAAACTATAGACTGTGAGTATGATATTGGTTGTGGATAAGTTGTTGGAAGTGATCTGAAAGACAGGACTTACATGCATTTGAAGAGGCATGGACAGGTCTATCACTGTACAACACAGCAGTGTACAGTACCGGTGGGAACAGGTCTGTCGCTGTATAACACTGGGGTACAGTACCGGTGGGGGACGGGTCTGTCGCTGTATAACACTGGGGTACAGTACCGGTGGGGGGCAGGTCTGTCTCTGTATAACACTGGGGTACAGTACTGGTGGGGACGGGTCTGTCGCTGTATAACACTGGGGTACAGTACCGGTGGGGGACGGATCTGTCACTGTATAACACTGGGGTACGGTATTGGTGGGGACGGGTCTGTCGCTGTATAACACTGGGGTACGGTATTGGTGGGGACGGGTCTGTTGCTGTATAACACTGGGGTACAGTACCGGTGGGGACAGGTCTGTCGCTATATAACACTGGGGTACAGTACCGGTAGGGACAGGTCTGTCGCTGTATAACACTGGGGTACAGTACCGGTGGGGACGGGTCTGTCGCTGTATAACACTGGGGTACAGTACTGGGTGGGAACAGGTCTGTCGCTGTATAACACTGGGGTACGGTATTGGTGGGGACGGGTCTGTTGCTGTATAACACTGGGGTACAGTACCGGTGGGGACAGGTCTGTCGCTATATAACACTGGGGTACAGTACCGGTGGGGACAGGTCTGTCGCTGTATAACACTGGGGTACAGTACCGATGGGGACGGGTCTGTCGCTGTATAACACTGGGGTACAGTACTGGTGGGGACAGGTCTGTCGCTGTATAACACTGGGGGACTGACCTGTTGGGACAGGTCTTACGCTATATAACACCAGGGTACAATATTGTAACCCACTATCATACAGTGACAGACCTTTCCTTACCAGTACTGCACCCCAATGTCACAGGATTAGATTTATGAACCTCCTTATTTGCCTGTCTTGCCCACTGAGAAAATAATTACAGATTTCTGCTGATGTGGGGACACTGTTTGGGCAGAGTTCCTTGTGATTGCAGCAGGGATCTGCAAGTTTGCGTCCAGTTTCTTAGCCTGGTTGATTGTGACGAAGGCACAAGGCTTTTTATTTGTCAGGAATGTGGAATCAATTTTCTAAAAAACAAAATACACTGCTCAATTTTTCTACAAAGCAAAACCTGCTCGACTGAAACAACCAGAGTTAACCTCCTCAGTGTTTCGCTTTTCCTTATCAAGATCAAAATATTATCCATCCGCAGGAAATTTAGAATGGAAAAAAAAGTGTCGAATTGACAGTCATATCACTGGCAAACACTTCCTGTTAAACTTTATTTCACTTCATTTCAAATAGTTAGGCCCCTTTTATAATGGAAACTAGCCATGTAAACCTGTCACGCTGCCAGAGGCACAGACGTGCCGCCACAGGCAGAAAGATGTCATGACACATTTCCATGGGAAACGGAGTCTTTCACAACTTAAAATGGCGACTGGGGCAAAAGTTATCCTCTTGACCCCGTGGTCTTTCAAACCCCACTTTCAAAAAGAGGGGAGACAGACTGATTATCGCTCACTGATCCTTCTTTTAAAAAAAAAGCACGTTAAAATTTCTCAGTCGTGATCAACTTTAGTCCCAAGCTAAATAAATGCTACACTTCAGTATAAAAGATAAAAAATAGAATCGTAACAAAATATATATCTTTTTTGAACAAAAAAAAAATATTCTTGGCCACAGGCTTGTGGGGAGAGTTAATTGTCGTCATGAGGCATGAGGTCAAAATTTATCCCTCGGCAAACAGCACTTGTTTTTTCAGAAGGGCAAAGAAACAAAATAATTAGTCGTTATTGCTGCTTGTGGGATCTTGGTGGTTGCTTCCAGGATGCTGCATTTCCTCTATTGCAACAGCAGAAGTGGTCCGCAATAGCGCGAGGGATATCCTGAGGTTATGACTGAAGATGCTACAGAAAACAAGAGGTCTTTTTTTGCTGTGCCATTCAATCAGCGTGGGGTTGGAGGGGGTTTTATCAGGGTAGGGGCTGGGCAAGCGCGAGAGATTGGGATGTAGGACAAAGAATGGATACTGCAAAGGAGGAGGCCAGTCTGCCCATCAGGCCTGTGCTGCCCCCCTGAAGGAACTGTCCACTGACAGCCATTACCCCAGCTTCTCCCCATAACTGTTCAGGTGATGGTCTGATGCTAGGCCTGCCTCCGCCAGCCCCTCAGGTAGTGCATTCTGGATCCTATCCACTCACTGCGTGAAAAGTTTCCCTCCATGTTACAGAATCCCTACAGTGTGGAAGCAGGCCATTCAGCCCATCCCAACCCTCCAAAGAGCAGCCCACCCATACCCAGCAACCCCCCTACCCTATCCCTGTTACTCTGCATTTCCCATGGCTAACCCACCTAGCCTGCATATTCCTGGACACTATGGGGCAATTTAGCACGACCAGTCCACCCCAACCTGCACATCTTTGGACCCAAGCAGACACAGAGAGAACATGCGAATCTACATAGACAGTCACCCGAGGGTGAAATCGAACCTGGATCCCTGAAGCCGTGAGGCAGCAGGGCTAACCATCAGCATGGCACCTTTTGCCAATGTCAAATCTGTGTCTTCAGATTTTCAACCTTCCAGCAAAGAGAACAGTTTTTCCCATTCTAGTCTGACCCAAGCTTTCAGATTGCAAACTTCTCAGTCAGATCTGCTCTGAGCCTTCTCTTCCCCCAGAAGAAAAGACCCAGTTTTTCCCTATTATCCATGTCACCAAAAGTTCCTCGATCCCTGGAAACATTCTCATGAACCTTTCCTGCTCCTCCACCCCCCCACTCCCCCACATTTTAAAGCCTCCACCTCCTTCTTAAAGAGGAGTGCACAGAAGTGGATACCATGCTTCAGATGAATACCCAACTAGTGTTTTAATAGCAATATTCCTGAAAACAATGTTGCATCTTGTTGAGATTTCTCAACAAGATTCTTGTACACATCAGGGCATTTCCACAAGAATTAACATTTTGTACTGCATAATAAGAGACAGTTGATTGGTTGACAAGCAGACTCTGATTTGTAGAGGCGCTGCCATGCAGCATGGACCTGTTTGATGATGACTAACAGTCAACTGCCATGCTTGTTTAAATTTAAACCAGGCAGATTGACTCTAATTGGTCAAGACATTGGTCAATGCCTGCTACCTATTTTGTTGAGTTGAAACAGGCACGGTATGTGTGAATGTATTCATTCTGTCTGCAAAACCCTTGAGCAATCAAAGCCCACTTGCCAAATAATCAGCACCCTCTTCTTGTAAAGTGTAAAATGTTGTTCCTTTGACTCGGTGGTATTTTTGTGAATGTCCTGATGAATGCAAGAACGAAAGCTTCAACAATCTGTGGCTTTCTCAGCTACACCCAAGCTCGCTACAACTACTTCTCTCAAAAGGAGTTACATTTACGTTCAGACCAAGACTAGCTAGTTTTTGTCTCAAATCAGGAACCCACTTTGGCAGCCGCTGTTTGTAACTGACCTTTCACAGTAGCTGAACTAATAGAGATTTTCCCAGGGGAACATTCAAAGTGGGTTTTTGGTGGGACTGGCTGAGGATTGGATTAACAGGGTGGAGCAGTTACCAGGCCGAACACACGCTTAGCTAGCACATGATGGGCCGAATGGTTTCCGAGTGGTGGGGGGGGAAACAGCGTAGCAGCGAGCCGGACATCCCAGAGGTGTCTACTTTTGAGCCATGCAGTTTTATTTTGAAAGTGATTTGCCGTCCTTAAACAAACAGATTGGGAATGGGCAGGTTGCTTGAAGGAAGGGAAGGTACTGGGCAGTCCTCCAGGAACACAGCACCTTTATTGGGGTAAAGAATCGTTGGGACTGCTTTGCCTGTTGAAACACTCCATGAACCCAGGGAGGGAGGGACCGAGTGGAGATAAATGTGCTTCAAAGATCCAATGTTCCTTGGTTGAAGCAAATAAAAAGGCCCAGGCAAACCCAGGCAGTGTGTAACAGCTTTCGTTGTCAATAACTTCTGATGAATCAACTTTGCAATTTTTTTTGGGTGGGTTGAGGGGCGGGGGCGGGAGCTTGGTGAGAAGGAGGGGTTTCCTGAAGCAGGCTCTATACATTTTAAAGCAGCTGCTTTGCCAAGTGGTAAGATGTAGGAAAGGGACAAAGGGTGGGGAGGGAGGGAGAGACGGGGAAAGCCTTAGGTTTTTACGTGGCTCCCCTCGATCTTACCCAATCCACCCCCAAAACGCTGCTGGTAATGCTCCCAGCTCCTTACGCACCCTCCCTGTGCCACAGACATTGCTGCTTCATTTCTTCGCTGTCCAGCCTCAGCGCATGGTTGGAATTCCAGTCTCGCTCGAACACTGCCTTCAGCTGGCTCTGCAGTGTGCCTGTGTTGTTGTGCGCCACTTCTGTCTGGTTTATGATGAGCCCCACCCCAGCCGTTCTCACAAAGTAGTCCTCCGACCAGTTAGATGTCCCTGTAAGCACAGAACAAATACTTTCTTCATAGTCAACGTACATAACCCTAATATGGATCAGCTATATGGATGATAGTATAAAGTAGGGGTGGAGGTTAGATAGACCTTAGGTTTAGGGTAAAAGTTCGGCACAACATCGTGGGCCGAAGGGCCTGTACTGTGCTGTACAGTTCTATGTTCTATGTTCTAATACAGGGGCTACAAGAACAGGGAATCCCATTGCAAATAACTCACCTCCTGACTCCCCAAAGCTTGTCAATGGCACAAGTCAGGAGCGTGAGGGAATATTCTCCACTTGCCCCCTGGATGGGGGCAGCCCCGACAACACTCAAGAAACTCAATGCCATCCGGGACAAAGCAGCACCTCCCCCCCACCCCCCCTGCTTGATTGGCACCACATCCACTCCCTCCACCTCTGATGCTCGGGAGCAGCCGTGTGTACCATCTATACTACAGAAATTCACCAAGCTTACACAGTCAGCACCTTCCAAACCCACGAGCTCTGGCCTCAAGTACGAAGGTGACAGACATGTGGGGACACCACCCCTTGCAGGTTCCTCTCCGAGCCACACACCATCCTGAACTGGAAACGTATTGGACATTCCCTCAGTGTTGCTGCGTCAAAATCCCAGAACTCCCTCCCTAACGGCGTTGTGTGGGTGTCCCTACACCATGTGGACTGCTGTTGTTCAAGAAGCCACCTTCTCCGGGGCAATTAGGGACGGACAAATAAGTAGTGACCTTGCCAATGACATTCTCAACTCACAAAGGCATAAAGAAAGCGAGCCCTGGCCCTACTCAATTGACATTTACTCATTTGTTAAACATATTGGCAATGTTACCACCGCAGCCACCTCTCTCCTGTCAATACTTTGCCACATCTCGAAACACAATGGGGAATTTATTATGTGAACGTGCCATATTCTGATTACACCCACCCACCAGTAGGGATGGTAGAGTTGGACATGGACCAGTGGGGACAATTTCTTGGAACACCTTGCTTTGGTCCTAATTTACCCAACAGAGCACACTGCCTCACCATCGCCCCCCAGCCCCTCCTACACCAACTCACCAATGTAGGCGATGCGATCGGTGACCATATATTTGTTGTGGTTGACTCTGCCGTAAGGTATTTTCTTCTGTTGCTCTGTGGCTGGAACCTTGAAGATCCGCTGAACGAGGGTAAAAACGAGAGGGGTGGGGAGTTAGTAGCGGGGTGGCTGAAAGAGCAACAGAGGCTCGATACAACATCTGAACCCTTACCAGAGAATCACACGGAGTTCTACAGCAGATGACTGCTTGGGTTACCCCACCTTAGCTCAGTCGGTTGAGTGGCCGTCTTGCAACGTGGAGGGACTCCAGAGGCATGGGTTTGACTCCCGCAGCGGGTTGAGGTCACCATGAAATTCCTGCTTTCTCCACCTTGCCTGAGGCACGATGATGCTCTAATGAGGGAGTGGGACAAGGTGGGGCAGGTTAGCCCTTCCTCCGATGGAAGTGGCACCTTGCCCGCTTTTCATCGGCCAGCCCCGTGGGCAAGGTGGCCCCTTCGAAACGGGCAGGGGTATTGAGAGTTGCGAGGTTAGTGAGGGAGCACAGCGCAGTAAGATGTCTGGTGACTCACCACTTCGATATCGCAGTGCAGCGGGCGCTCAGCGAGGACGTTCAGGGACTTCAGGTAGACGAACATGGGCCGGTATGAGTGCTCCCAACAGCTGATCAGGAGGCGGACTGACACGTGCCGTTCACAAGCTGCCTTGCGCAGACGGTCATCAATGGCTGACCAGAATCTGGGAGAAATGGAGGGATGGGTGAGGACAGCCATCAGCAAATTTAAATAAACATTCTAACAAACCTTACCGATTGGCGCAATTGTCCTTGAACCCCACCCCGCCCCACCTTGTGGCCCTACACCACCTCGGGACGTCCTGCACACGCAGCGAAACGCCCTCTGGAGGGCAGCCGAGGCACACAGCAAGATCCTACCAAAGTGGTGTCAGCTGACATAACCCGATCTGTAGCGACGCGTGTCGGTTAAAGCCAGGAGCGTCAAAAAAGGCTTCCCCCCCACCAACCCTCCTCCTTCCCCTAACCTCAACCACCTCTTCCTTTAACCAGCTGCAGGGACATCGAGGGGGTTAGGAAGGCTACCCTCAGCTTGGCGCCTCGCTAGGAAGGCGGCACTCTGACCACCTGACTCCCCCCCCACGACCAACGGCTATTTCCGCGTCTCGAGCCGGTGGAAATAGGCTCGGGCTATTCCGCCACGGTGGGCATCACGCCGGAGCCCCTGAGCTCACCCCCAAGCGGTCACGGGTGGGGACTGGGTTCACATGGGCAGGTATATCTCCCAACACCCCCTCCCACAATCCACCCCACCCCCCAGCCAAACCCCTCACCTCTTGGATCAGCAGCCCACCTACCTTGGAGGCTCGCAGTACTGGCACGTTGGGACCAATTCCATGACCGAGATGGAGACGAAAGCTTTCGCGTCATCGATCACGCTCAGAATGGCGTTGAGGTCGGAAGTGCGGCGAGAGGCACAAAGGGAGGGTGGGGAGCTCTGCAGGAGACAGAGTCTGGCGCAGTCACTTTCACAGCCAGCCTGAGTTTTACATTCGCTCCCATACTTTGGACCCAGAAGAGAAATCTAATATCGCTTACACCTCCACACAAGGCCACACACGCAAGAGATCTGGTGGGATTAGTTACCTAGAGTACTGTGCACTGTTCTAGACCCCCTGCCTGAGATCGGGAGATAGAGGGTGGCGGTGGAGGGTTGCTATTCAGACTGGAGGTCTGTGACCAGCGGTGTGCCACAACGGTCGGTGCTGGGTCCATTGCTTTTTGTCATTTATATAAATGATTTGGATGTGAATATAGTAGGTACGGTCAGTAAGTTTGCAGATGACACTAAAATTGGAGGTGTAGTGGACAGCGAAGAAGGTTACCTCAGAGTACAATGGGATCTTGATCAGATGGACCAATGGGCCGAGGAGTGGCAGGTGGAGTTAAATTTAGATAAAGGAGAGGTGCTGCATTTTGGAAAGGCAAATCAGGGCAGGACTTATACACTTAATGGTAAGGTCCCGGGGAGTGTTGCTGAACACCTTGGAGTGCAGGTTCATAGCTCCTTGAAAGTGGAGTCGCGGGTAGACAGGGTGGTGAAGAAGGTGTTTGATACGCTCCCCTTTATTGGTCAGTGTGTTGAGTATAGGAGTTGGGAGGGTCATGTTGCAGCTGTACAGGACATTGGTTAGACCACTTTTGGAATGCTGCGTTCAATTCTGGTCTCACTGCTATAGGAAAGATGTGAAACTTGAAAGCGTTTAGAAAAGATTTACAAGGATGTTGCCAGGGTTGGAGGGTTTGAGCTATAGGGAGAGGCTGTATAGGCTGGGGCTATTTTCCCTGGAGCGTTGGAGGCTGAGGGGTGTCCTTATAGAGGGTTATAAAATCATGAGGGGCATGGATAGGCTAAATAGGCAAGGTCTTTGACAGTAGGGGAGTCCAAAAATAGAGGCGCATATTGTTCCGAATCAGAACTTCCTCCAGCAAAGTATTCCAAGTTCCAATCTCTCTCCCAAACTTTCGCCTCCCTCAGAATATTTTTAATTGCTCAGCAGCCGATCACCTGAAACCTTCACAATATCAAAGGGAACGGAGAGGAGTCAATGGAGAGAAGTAACTTCCGTTGGTTGGGAAGTTGAGGACAAGAGGGACAGAATCTGAAACTGACAGATTTAAGAACAGCTCCTTCCCTGCTGTTACCAGACTTGTGAACAGACCTCTCGTATATTAGAGCTGATCTTTCTCTGCACCTCCTCTGTTACTGTAACACTATCTTGTGCATCCTGTTCTATTTCCCTGACGTACTTATGCCAGGAATGGTTCGTCTGGATAGCACGCAGAACATAAGAACATAAGAACTAGGAGCAGGAGTAGGCCGTCTGGCCCTTCGAGCCTGCTCCGCCATTCAATAAGATCATGGCTGATCCTTTCGTGGACTCAGATCCACTTACCCGCGTTCTCACCGTATCCCTTAATTCCTTTATTGTTCAAAAAAAATCTACTTTTTTAAAAAATGTTTACTGAAGTAGCGTCAACTACTCCACTGGGCAAGGAATTCCATAGATTAACAACCCTCTGGGTGAAGAAATTCCTTCTCAGTTCAGTCCTAAATCTGCTCCCTCTAATCTTGAGGCTATGCCCTCTTGTCCTAGCTTCACCTGCCAGTGGAAACATCCTCTCTACTTCTATCTTATCTATTCCCTTCA